CTGTAGAAATGTAATGGTAGTCAATGGAATGTCCCCAAGTGTATAGCTGGACGTGTGTGTGTGTGTGTGTGTGTGTGTGTGTGTGTGCTACCTCCAAACTTTCTACCTTTTTTGCTCCTCCTGCTTGTGAAAGGTCTGCTTGTTCTGAAAATGTTTGCCTTCGTACCATTAGGTAAACCACGTGCACACTCACAAACACATCATGTATTCGGAGCCCACCCACCGAAATGTTGGACCAACAAGTTCATTTGTCAGACTGGGTCATTTTAGCATACCCATATTTTTTTAATAATCTGAAACGTTTGTWTTAATCTGAGTGGGTGAAGCTGGTTGTTGTGTGCTGATCAGGTGATCAGGACGCACAGGTTCAAACCAGTCTTAATTAAAACCTGTCTGTTTTACAGAAGAACACAAGTTTACCTGGGTTGACCTGGGCTTTGATGGAAACAGTCGTCAGGATGAAAAAGACGAGGTGCGGGAACACTCTGACCCCAGAGATCTTCATCACTTCTCAACAAGCTGCTCTCCTGAAAGACAACCACAACTCGTCATCACCCTCTGAATCTCTACTTCAAAAGCCTGTTTTTAAATGAGAATTTAGCAAAAAGTAACTTAAAATGTACAATAAAAAAGATTAAAGTTAATTTAAATGTGACGCCTTGCTGTTGAAAATCAAAACACTCACCTGAAATTTAAAGCATATTTAACAATTAAATTTGTATGTAGTGCACTGACAAAGTGCAAAGAGCATAGTTCAAATGGAAATAAATTAAATATTCAGACTTTAAACAGTCTTTTGTTTAAGATATTATTTCAATTTAGAAGGCAAAGTTATGACTGTCATCATTTTACAGATTAAAAACAGAAGTAAACAGGGGATTRAAGAGTTTTTAGTTTGTTTCCCAGATTGACCCAAATTACAGAGAAATAAAYAGATTTGACTTACTTTGAGTTCTCTCGTTGTTATAAACACGATCTGTTTCTGACAGTATTCCACATCTTTCCTGACCTCTCCTTTGGAAGCTGTTTCTAAGACTGGAAAGAGACTCAGGAGAAGAGGAAGAGGAGGAGGAGGAGGAGGAGGAGGATAGGGAGGAAATATGCAGGCTGATGTAAGAGTTGTCCTGTGTGGAGGAAAGAAACGGAGAAAATAACCCGCTCTGGGCCCATGAGGTGAGGCCAGAATACCAGGACTCTACCTGATCCATGAATGGTTTCAGTTGTGACCCGGAGAGGCAGAGCTGCAGTCTGTGTGGTTTCCAACAAAAACCAAAAATACCCACGAGCTCATTTCCTCGAGGAGGAGAACTTACAAAGTGCTGAAGTGAACATAAAACGATTGCAACGCCACAAATTAAAGGAAGATTAACAAAGTTTTGTGGTGGTAACAGACAAAAAAAAGCTTGTTTTGCTTCACTGACCTGATGGTTTTATATTTGTTCAGCTGCTCATTCATTTATGTTAAACAAAATAGAGTTTTGTTTTATGCAATAACATGTAAAAGCAATAAAAATACCTTTTCTATGAAGCAAAACACTTTTAAAGATTTGTTCCTTTTAAAGTTAGAGTCGGTGAATCTGTTCAGATTCACACACTAAAAACTGCTGGGTTATTCTGAGAACTCGGAGTTAAAACTGAAAAGTCAGAAGTGGTTGGAGCAGAGATGAGCCACGCCTTTCTTCACAGTCCTACTGGACCAGACTGGACCGCTGCTTTAGGATGTATTTATTTAAAAAATAAGGTGGCCTAAATTAAATGATGTTCACCATGGCATGTAAAGTGAAACTACAATGTTTTGKTCTGAATTCCTCCTTATTTTAACTTTACAAGCTCCTCTTTCATCACTTTTCTGCTGTGTGTAGTTGGGTTTTGTTACTGTTCCTTTACAGTTCTGATTGACTGGTTTGACCTGTTTGAAGGAACTGGGAACCTCTCAGTCTTCATCATCACCATCTCAGCAGAGCAGAAGACACCTGTTGCAATGTGTTAACCTATTCTCACTGGATTGACACAGTTTTCCACCCTTTTGCAAAACAGTTAATGCAGATGTCATTCAAGAAGTCCAGTCTCCCTTTTAGCTGTCAGTATGAAATATCAAAAGCACCTGTTTGACACTTCTTTACAGAATTTTTCATTTTGCAATCAGTCTGCAGGCCTGTGTTGTTCTCTCATACTGAAGTAATGTTATGTTTTTTTTTCCTCATCTGTCCTTGTGTGGTTTTTAGTTTTTTAGGAGGATTGCACCTCCTGACGATGTCTTCATGAAGATCATCCTTGCTCTGCATGACCCAGAGTACCTGTTCTCCTATGTTTGTTATGTTCTGTCTTCTTCTGAATGGGTGTTCTGAGCTGTAATTTCATTGTTCTCTGTACAATGACAATAAAKGTCTAATCTAAAGGCCTACTATAGATTTTTGATCTTTACTGTAAAAGACTGTGTTTTTATTTACCTAATTTCTCACACAGTAAAGGGTTTTATTTTTATTTCCATGTGTCCTCAGTTGGAATATTTCATTTGTCAGGCACACTGAAAAAAATGTAATCAATAAAATTTGCATCAAACCATATCTGCTTCTGGATGTATTTTTTTGCAAGAGGACAAATTTGACCACAAACAGCACTGCATGTCAGCTACGTACAGTCATAGGCTACAGTGACAARCAATGGTGCACTGATTCACACATGASKGMTGTATTTTGTWTTTTGTTGCCYAYTGTGTACTGATTGTTTGGAGGTGCTCATACGTTGTGTCAAAGWTGAGTTGTTTGAAGGCAAAATTWGCTTTTGTTCAATATTTTAAATGTTTTGARAKTTGTTGCCTTTTGCAAACAAAATGTGTCATTTTGACCACTGGTGTCAATGTTTAGGCCTCTGCTTTAACTGTTTTGAAAATGTGGATTTTGAGTTGACGGCTGGGTCAAACCAGTCAATAAAAACTGTAAGATGCTTAAAGCCCCGCCCCCCTCCTGCTTCCAGACCGGTCTACTCCAGTTTGAGAGAGGGGGTTACTTTTCTAGAAATGCAGAAACATTTTATTTACAATTGAATTAAAAACGTAAACAACAGAAGTCTTGTCCATCCAGCCTTACATGTTGGACCCAGAGTCTGACCTAAAACTAGAATCTGACCCAGAACCAGAGGAGAATGAATATGAGGAAGTTGTAGTGGGTAGTAACTCCAAGTACACAACAAAATGTATAAAAAGTGGATTTTGTAGATTTGTCCCCTAAGTAAGAGGCCTCAGAAAGACAGATTAGATGGCAGTTAAATAACTCAGAGTTTCTGAACCTTGAGTTAAGAGCAATAAAAACGCGTTATTAATAGAAGTACCACTGTGTTTTCAGTTTGGTTTTTTTGTGAGGGTATTTTTAGTTGTCTTTAGTATTCTTAAAGGGGAAATATTGTGTGTTTCTCAGACATATATTTAAATTCTATACCATAATAAAGTAACTATGTCACCTTCAGTTGTTATTAAAACGTTGTTTATATGTTTAAATAGAAAATAAACTTGTCTTCTCATCATATCTGTTTCTAAACACCTTAAAATTGGCCTCTGTCTCTTTAAGAACCTCCTTCTGATCCCGTCACGCCCATTTCAGCACAGGGCTGTGTGTGTGTGTGTGTGTGTGTGTGTGTGTGTGTGTGTGTGTGTGTGTGCTCTGTGATAAGGAAGCTCAGCTTGGAGACACAGCCCAGAGGAGGAGCTGGTCCCAAAAGGCGGTTCTAGTCCCAACCAGWYGTTTTTGCTCCCCTGCCTGGCTGCCTCAGGACACTACAGGATTTCTCAAACATGCATGAATGAATCAAAGCAAAACTCTGGGCATTTTTTGATGAGAGGATAACATTTTAACATGATGTAAAACTCAAAAAAGTTGGTTTAATATGATATAGCTCCTTTAATTTCAGTCCCTGCCACGGAGCCACGCCCACTCACACCTGCTAACCTCACCTTTTTCTCATATCCTGCTCCTCCTCTGTAGGGATTTGCATATTTTGTTTTAAACACTTTTCTTAGTTCCATGTCCACTATCTTTGTTTAGTTTGGGTTTTCCCTGTGTCCTCATCTGCCTGCTCCTCTGATCTCCCTGTTAACCAGTCTCACCTGTCACTTGTTGTAATCAGCCTCCTGCCCAGGTGTTGCTCATCTCTCTTCCTCAGTTTGTACATAGTCAGTCTCTTGTCACCATTTCCCCATTTTTTAAAAAAAGCTTCTTGTGTTTTTCTGCATTTCTGGATTCAAAACTTTATTTTAACGTGACAGCTGCAGAGAAGATAAAAACAAGAGTTGGGTCATCGTGACACCTCATCTCAGCACTTTAGTTTATCCTTCATCTGTTTTTTCAGTTTGTTATTATTATT